GGGGCTCATGGGGCAGGGACGCCCTCCCGGAGAGCCGCAGGCTGCATTGACTCAAACGGAGACGCTCCTCTTCCTCCCCCCGCCACCCCCGCCGCCGCCGTCGCCGCCTCCTGGGAAAAAGGAAAGAAAAAAAAAAAAAGTACCTGGGCAGCAGTTGCTGGAAAGTCTCGGCTAAGCCACCTCCCAGCGCCGCTGTCCCTCCCTAGTCCTCGCCAAGTCCGGACGAGGCAGCGGCGGCAGCCAGGGCCAGCTGCGCAAACTCTCAGCGCATGCTCGGGCCGCGGGCTGCCCGGCTGGATCCGACTGGGTGTTTCTTGTCCCCTCAGGCGGCGGGAGCCCCCGAAGGGACGCGTCACCTCTGCAGGGGCCAGACAGAGATAAAGCCCAGGGACTTTGGAAAAGTCCGCGCAGTAAACCCCTTTAAAATGGTGGTGTCGGAGGAGGGGAGGCTGGGTTATAACCATAGGGAAACAGGCTTTTATTATATGAAAATATTTGTGTTTGAGAAGGGGGGTGAAGGGGTGGCCCAACCCAATTCCTGCAATGAGAAACTGGTTTTCACAACCTTTCTAGAACCACCTCCTGTGATTTGTAACTAACAGGGTGCCCTATGATCCTTCTTACTGCTTTGTTGCCTTCCCTGATTTTTTTTAAAAAACAGTTCTTTCCCACTTCCATGGTGCACTAACACATTTACTTACACCCCAGAGTAGACTTGTCCAGATCCGACACCCAGGATAGGAAGAGCACATTTAACCCTTTAGCAAGTAATCCAAAGTTTCCAAAATTTTCTCCCGATAGGACAGTTTGAGTTTTAACTGGGTGATTTCTCTTGCATTTTGTATATAATAATAGATTTCGATTTTTTTTAAACTGGAAAATTCAAGAAGTATTAAAGTAATAGTAGGAGACTATCCTTCTGAAAGTACCTTCCCTTCTGGAAGTAAGAAGTTTCACACTTTAAAAAATCACTTGATCATATTTCCCATATAAAATTTTGATGTTTTATGCCTCACGAGCCCCCACAGTTCTGTGATTATTCTGTGCTTATCATGTGGTAAATAAAACTTCACTAACAGATATGAATTACCTAAACTACAAGCAACATCTTTGAGAAAACCTAATAATAAGGGAGTCATCCTTAAATTTCCTTCCAGGAGAAAAGAAAAATGGAGTCCTGCACCCATCACTGCCTGTCTACCATCTGTCAGTTGCTACACGACCAAGGTGACAAAGAGACACACACTCTTGTTTTGATACAAGTAAAATTAAGATCAAAAGAGAATCTGAGTGTCCTGGGTTAGGGGAGGAAGGGTCTTGGTAAGCAAGTCACTAAGCTGTGTGTAAGGCAGTGAGCTCCAAAGAGTACAGATAGCCATCCACTCCAAACACTAAGAAAAATGTCCAGTCATTCATCAGATGACACTAACGCTGGCAACAAAGTATTTTTTGGAATCATGGAGAAGAGCCAAGAAACCCATTTTTATTCTCAGTCACTGCTCAAATTAGGTGTATGCCAGTTATAAGCAGAGGGAAGCTGGTACCACCATTTGAATGCCCTTGGTGCCACACATTCCTCTCAGTGACAGAAACACCCCCACATTGAGGAGAGTCTATGACTGCAGTTCAAAGTGACAGTAAGGGTGCAAATAGCTCCCAGGTCTCTGTTCAGAGATCCTCTTCTATTTCTAGAAAATAATAAAATACCTTTTAATTCATAAACCAATAAGGGCCCTAGAATAACAAAATTTTAGAGGAAGATGCTTTAGAAGTACATATACCACTGACCCCCTTAGGAATATGAAACCAAGAGAAGTTAAAAGGAGTTGCTCAGTGTTAAATCTCTGGTTAAATCATATTCCAAACTAAAACCCAGAATCATATTCTCTAACTAGTTCAGTGATTCTCAAAATCACTGTATATTCGAACCTCTTAGGGAGTTTGGGACAAATCCTAATGCTCAGGCTGTATCCCACACCAGTTAAATTGGAATCTCTGCAGATATGGCCCAGGCATCCAGGTTTTTGGAAGTTCTCAAGGTAATTCAAATCTGCAGCTAAGTTTGAAAACCACTGCAACTAACACTTTACAGATGCCTGAAAACTAGCAAAGGAGTTTCTTCAGGTTTACGTGGATCAGATCTCTCACTTGTGAATTGACAGACTGGCATTAACCCTATTTTATAAGTTAAGAAGAAAACAGAGCTGCAGTTATTGCTCTAATATTCCTAAAGAATGGCTATCGGAGTCCGTGTATCAGCATTTTCAGAAAGGACTATGCCACGTTGGAGGCTTTGCAGATCGAGTAGTTTTGATTGCTTAAACCCGACCATACCTCCCTTTAACTTGTGCCACTCAACTCTAGGCCTGCCTTTTGGAACCCACAGCGTGAACAATTCTCCTCCCATCTGACAGCTCTTCAACTCCTTGAGGGCAGCTGCTCTTCCCTCTCCTCTTAATTCTCCTCTTCTCCAGGGTAGAAGCACAGTAAGACTTGACATCACACCTGTCCTTCCATCGCCTCTCCATGTTCCTCTGTGTGGATAATTTTCGGGTGCACAAAGGTAAGATAGAAAAATCTCCAAATGGGCATGGCAGTTTGAATGTAGAATAACACATTGGAGAGTTTGTATGGTCTGTTCACCGCCCCATGAAGTAGGAACCCAGTCCCATGGCCAGGTGGGCTTCGTTATGTACCTACCTTTGAGTGCATAACAATTCCTGTGCCACGTGCTGAAGTTACAAAGAGTAAGATGAGTCCCTGCCCTTCAAGAAAAGGCAAAACTCTTCTTTTCAGTTAAGCAAACAACAGCAGCTACTACTTACGAGCAATCTCACGCGTGTGGCTCCTAGAGTCAGGAGCAGAACTCAGCTAGCTAAGCGAGCAGTAAGGTCATGCAAGTTCTTTCGCTGCATGAGGTGATTCATTTGTCCATCTCTTACTGCACTCATTCTGCTCGAGTTGTGCAGAGGGAAGGAGCTGCGTAGGTGTTTGGTAGGATAAGTGAGTTTCTACTGCTTCTTAGTATAATACCTTACAGTACACCTACAACAGTTATTCACAATCCGTGCAGGAAACAGACCTAATATGTTTTGAACAAGTATTACGTGCCTGACATAATAGGTGCTTCTCATAAAGTATCTTATTCATTCCTCATAACGACACAGTTGGACATTGAGACTCAGAGAGTTGATTTCTCCAGGGCCATACAGGTAGTAAGTAGAGAAAGTGAGATTCTAATCTGTCTGACTAATTCTGACTTATTCTAAGAGATCTGTCTGACTCTTTTCACTGTTAATCTGCATTACAATAATATTTCAAATCTGGGTGTGAATTCACTGACAAGCTTCAAGAAGAAAAATATTCTAGGCATTTTTTATTAGTTCTTGAACGTATGAGGCTAAATTTCAAGTATGTGTGCTCACACTATGACTGGTGAATCTACAGTCACCTTCTATTTCTGAAAGCAGATACCCAATAGGACCTGAGAAAAGCCTTTCATCACTGAATTAGGTGGACTCCTCTCAACTGCAAGATTAAGGCCGGCAAATAAAATACAGGATGTCTAGTTTGATCTGAATTTCAAGGGGGATGACATAGTTCAAGTGGTAGAGTGCATGCTTAGCACATACAAGGTCCTGGTTTCAGTCCCCATACCTTCTCTAAAAATAAAACAAATAAGATTTGAATTTCAGATAAACAGTAATTTTTTTTTTTGGCATAAGGATGTCCCAAAGAACACGTGAGACATATACCACATTGGATATACACATAAGTTTTTTTCTGTTTCTCTGAAATTCGAATTTAACTATGTATCCTACATTTTTATTTGCTAATTCCAGCAACTCTATGTAAACTAGAAAATTCGACTCAAAGTGCTGCAATGATAAGGATATAAGCAAATATACTATTTCGCATAATAGTAACTCCCAGACTAGCAATCCATCCAGTCAGCAATGACATCAGGGAATCAGTTACTCTTCCACCTTACTCTTCTGATATACACAATGTGGCAGCTAACATCGCTGGGCTACCTCGTCTCATGATCACAAGACGGCTGTGCAAATACCAGCATTACATACAGGTATCACCTCTTCTAGAGAAGGAAGAAACTGCTACCTCCTGTGGATTTCCCTGCTGGCTGAAGAGTCTTCTCCTAGAAGTTTTGCAGCAGGTTATCCCTTAAGATCCATTAGCTGGAACCCTGCCACATCCTGATGTAGGCATGGATTATTGGCAAAGGTAGGGGTCTTCCATGACTGGTTTAAAGGAATAAGGATGCCTTCCCCATGCCTGGGGGCAACTCTTCTCTGAAGCACATGGCCCAGCAGAGGAGGGTTGGTAACTGAAAAGAATCAGATTTTTGTTTGAACTGCGGAGTGGAGAGAGGAATGGGTGCTGTCACCTTACCCCTGGTCACTGCTGAAACAACCCACCTCTCAGCCAACAATTTCAGCGGCCCTACTCACCAAACGCCCTTCGTTCCTTAGAGAACCACTGAAGCAGGAGCCTCCCGGCAACAGCGAAGAACCCTTAAAAAAAACTCACATCACGTCATTTCCATCCCATCCCATAAGCTTACATCCTGTATCCACATTTGCCTTTGTCCGCTGCACGACTGACTAAAGAATTGCCCAAATTAACACCCTCATATAAACCCCTAGAAGAATTTCCTCTTGAAGTTTATCTAAACCCAGCCTCTGCACAGAGTTCAGAGATTTGGACTCATTACACCAGCTGCCGTTGGTACAAATAATCCAGTCCTATTCCATAAATATTTATTGAATTATTACTGCAAACTCAGAACTGTGCTAGGAGATATCAAAAGTTCTAACATCATTTTGATGCTCAAAGAGTTTATAACATCATCAGCATACTTCCTCTTCAGAGAGTGAAACTTATGGAACTGAAGAACTCTTTCCCTTTGTAAAAAGTCTTAATTGACAGTTCTTTGAAACAAACTATAAAGAAAAGGAAGGGATATAAGCTCCATTTACAAACAGCTGCCAAACCCTACTTTTCTTAGAAAGATCCCTCAGGAATGAGTCCATTATACCACACTGTCAGCTTTTTGCCATCCCCATAATACAACAACCAGGAGAAAGATGAACAAATATTTACCGTGAATATTAGCCATTTGTTTTCATTTGCTGCCCTTTCAATTCACTTGCTGTGTTTTAAAACTTTTAGGTTATTTCAACAGTGCATGAAGAAAACATTTATGTATTTACACTAGATATAAATATTTTATTTAAAATCATTTCGTTAGCTGATCCAAACTCTCATGTCCTCAACCTACCACATAGAAACTCTTTTACGGAACAAAAAACAATTGTGATTTTGTGATGATCATTCAGCCTTCATGCAGTTTTATCGTTGGCACTTGGACTTTCTATTTCTATGCTATTGTTTATTTGTGTGTGTATCAGTCAAACTAGAGATGTAGTGAATTTCCATTACGTATTTCACGATATGAATGCATGAATGATTGACTGATGAATGAGAGAAAAAGCTAGTCTTCTCGCTTTTTTTCAAAGTTGAAGCTACTTTTTTTTTTCATTGCAAAGAGCTAACAATGGCCATGGTATTTTACTAACTTTGTATTGTCAGTATTCTTTCTCAGAAAGCAGTGTTAAATGATTGCTATTCACAATAATAAAGAAAAAGATATCATGTCAGGGACATACATTATCCATATATAACTCATACAGGTAGTTTTAATAACTTATGTGCATTTCTGTTGTCTTAATACGTTTCTTAGCTTTATCAGTAATGTTACCCACTGTAACTGATTTGTTTGGTTTAGAAACCTTATACATGTTCCCAAAATGACTGGTAGAAATTAAATTATGTGTTTTCTGGTTTGAGTTTTATGTTGAAGGTGTTTTATGAGTCACTGTCACCTTAGCACTGGGTCACAGAGAGGAATCTATCCAAGTCTCCCAGAGTGGTGGTGAGTTGGTTCTCACTTCAGGGAAGGTGGCTTAAAATGTGACAGCGGCCAGCTTGGGCTTCAAGGTGGATCGTATGTTAACTTATTGACTAGGTCCCAACAGCCGTTCCTTAGATCAGACATAAAAATGAGACTATAACAATGAAAAGCTTCAGTTATTTAAGATTACTCTTGGTCTTGATCCTGCTTTTCTGGTCCCTAACTTGCACATCTACTGAGAACATTTGAAATCCTTTCCCCTCTTCCCTCTCCTCAGACCAGCGTTGCCAGCTATCCCATGCCTTCATCATGTTTGCTGCACGTCCGAAATTTCACAAACATGCCTTATTCAGTTATGGGAGCGGACAGGGATGGCCAGACCCTAAAAACTAGACCAATCAATTAGGGTGTGACTGGAACTTGCGTGAAGACCCACCAAAGGGCAGTGTAAATGCAGGCAGCCAAGCGGAACCAAGTATGAGGGGAATGCGTTGGCAAGGGCGAGGTGGAAATCGCAGCGGGAAGACAGATGGCAGCATCAGAGAGGCCCAGCAAATGGTAACGGGCAGGTGCTGTGGCAGACGGACAGAAGTCGGGGGCACTGGGGCTAGACTGCAAAAACACAAAAACGTTCCCCAAAGCAAGAAGAAAACCACCCTCTCCCGCCCCCGCCGCCCCCCATGTCAATGTCAAGGTGACTTAGCCACTCCCTGCCAAGGCCAAGTCGGTGAGGCTGGTCCATGGAGATGCGTGCAGGTTCCTAGAAAAGCATGATTCAGAAACAAGAACCACAGTCCCAGAGAAATTGCTCTAGTTTCTACTTGAAAGAGGCATAGTGTTAAGATTAGAAAAGCTTGTGGTTCCCAGATTAAGGAAGCTCTGAGACGCCAGGCGGAGGACTTGGCCCTGTCTTCAGAGGCGAGGGCAGCCCCTGAAGGGTCTTGACATGATCGGAAGAGTGACGGATCCACCAGCAGCAGGGGCTGTCGGGCCGGCCTGGGTGAGCGTGCGGGCTCCCCGCTTGCTGGTGGTGTGATGAGGAGCAAATGATCTCACCTCCATCAGCCTCAGTTTCCTGATCTGTGCACCTGCCTCCTAGAGTGGTCATGAGCCTTATGCCATGTGTAAGGGGCCTAAATTTAGCTGGGGTCACACTGTCCTTTGAGGTTTAAATAGAATTGGCTGAGCCTCTTTCCTGCGAGCAGTGAGGAAACTTGTTTTCCCCTCGCAGTCCCCCTGGAGATTCCTGGTGTGGGAAAAGAAGGGGAAGTGGTCCTCCTAGAGTTCTGAATCAGTCTCTGGACGTCTCGTCATCCCATGCACGCTCCTCTGTTCTCTAAAGGGCAACAACCTTCAGAAAAAGTTTCCTTCCCTCTCAAAGCATCGCCAGCACAAATCTCCATGTGTTGCTGCTTTGACTGAAGCCTTACAGAATCGGAGAGGGTGTTTGTAGCAGCACCACGTACAGCTCAGAAGCAACTCGGAGAACTCCCATGGCTGTTTTCCTCCCACTTGCCTCTCCCCGGCTGTCTTTCCCTCAGGTTTTCATGTTGACTGACCCCCTCACCTCTGTTCTGCTCTCTCACTGCTTACACTCCAACCCCAAACTCCGGGAACCTCTCATGCAGACGGCAAAACTGTCTTTTTTGTTTTATGGTCTTCTATCAAACTGTGCTGTCTAGAGGTCTCAGCTTTCCCTTCCTAAGAGAAATTCTGGTGCGAGGCCATCTGAACTAAAGAGATTCGCATGTCTGATGAAGATAACATCCTCGACAGCAGACAGCTCATTTTCTGTAGAAAGCTGGGGATTCAGAGAGCCGGGAGCAGCCATCCTGGGAACAGAACAAATAGCAAACCTTGGAAACTTCCTGCCAAGAAGCCACATTTTGATTGGATTAGATCGTAGAGGAATGTATGCCCAGCGCTATCATTGAAAACAATACAAGAGTCAGTAGCCAATGAGTGGAGTTTACCAGCTGGCTGTGGTCGAGGACAGGGTAAAGAGAGCCCTACTGGTCCCACTGTCACCCCCGGCTGCTTGGGGCACACCCGAAGCTGTGCCTCCCTGAGGATCAACATCAGAGGCTTAACACCATGAGGGGACATAGACTTGACTCAAATAATCCAGCCAATCTCTAAACAAATAAATAAGCAAATAACGTAGCAAGCCCCAAAGCGGGAGGGAGTGCCCAGTACCTAGAGTGGCTACAGTGTATTATCTAAAATGTCTAGTTTCCAACAACAAAAAAATTTGAGGCCTGAAAAGAAACAGGAAAGTCTGACTCATACCCGAGGAAAAAAAAGGAGACAACAGAAACTGCCTGTGACAGTGACCTGCCTGATGTTGGGTCTAACACAAAAAGATTTCAAAGTGGCCATTATAAAAAAATGTTCGTGGCACAAAAGGAAGTATGACTAAAGAGGTACAGGAAGGCGTGAAGGCAATGTCACATCATATACAGTATCAATAAAAAGACATAAACTATAAAAGATAACCAAATGGTTTTATGTATTCTAGCCTCAGTGATACACTTTATATTTACACATGTAAATACATTTTATATAAACAACAATCTAAGTATAAAACAATACATTATATCCATGAAATGCGTTGTTGATCCTGTAACATACAGAAATAGAATTGGAATATATTTAACAGCAACAGCAGAAAGGAAGTGAGAGGGAACAAAGCTATAATGAACTAAGGAGATGACTCTAGGTGATCAAGCAATAATTTTATAAACTAGAAAGGAAAGAAGGAAGGAAAGGAGGAGGAGAAGGAAGGAACACTCTGTCTGTCTCCTCAGAGATATTGATACCAGCTCCCATCTTCCTTAGCAGTCACTTGCTAAGTTCCCAACGCCCTTCTGAGGGCTCAGCCTCACTCTGGTGCTGAAACAAGCCTGAAGCTGCAGTGCAGATGGTATAGCAGGGAGGCCAAGCCCATCTGCTCCCGGAGCTTCGGAGATTCCCTTTGTCCCCCTGCTGTGGCTGGTTCCCATGGACCCCACACTGTCAGTCTAGCACTAAATATGGGCTCCTGCCTTCTTTCTCCACCTGACATTCCAATTTACATTCCTTCTTAGAATCAAAACTCCATCCCTCAACCTCATCTTCTTGGCTGTTCTTAATCTCTCTCTCTAGAGGCTGGATCTTTCTCCCTATACTTTATTTGCTTTCTCGCTTTCCTGGGACCTGTTGGAAATGGGCTCTTCATAATCCACTACAGTGTTCTAACCTGCTTAACTCGGAATTTCCTCAGTGTTCTTCAAGCTCTCCTGAAGCCTCTCCACCAGCTCTCCACTATCAAGTCTCCACCATCAACTCTCCACCCATCAACTCCCACCAACTCTCCACCACCCTGCCCCCAACAACTCTCCACCATCAAGACGACCCTCCAACACCCAAAGTCACACACACACGTTGGACCTCCTTGGATACTAAAACCTGCGAGAAGCAAGTCTCGATCTGCCTTGACCCTGCAGACATGTACCAGGCCCCTGAGAGCTGGGGCATTGTCCCCAGCTCCCTCCTATATTGACCTGTAGGGGATCGATGGCTTTTTTATCTTTGTTTTTGTTTGGTCTAAACCTGCATGAGTTTAACAGTGAATAGGTTAAAGTCTCTTTGCAGGGTTGATCTCAAAGTTTGTGGAAGTAAGCACGTTATTTGCTTCTCTCCTGAGTGAATTTGGAACGTAACTGTCTCCTTACTGTTAGGCTGGTTTTTTTTTTATTGGTTTGTCTGTTATTTTTGCTGGTCATAGTGTGCTTGCAACAAACTCCATAGCTCCCCTCTTCCCCACGCCCTGCTCTCTTTCCTGTCAGAAGCAAAGGAAGAGGTCCTCTGATTTCCTCTGGGCAGAAAATCGGAAGAAGCAAGATGAGCAAGTGGAAACCAATGTCAGGGGAAATACACTCTAAAGAGAGTCCAGAAAAATGCATGCACGTTAGTGTAAGGAGTTTGTGATGTCTGTTTTTGCGTAAGGGTTGTGTGTGTGCATATGTGTGTGTGTGTGTTTCTCCCCATCTGCGCTCTGTGTAGTTAAGGTTCTAAAATAAGTAGACTCTGGCCGTGAAAGTATTACTATACTAACCTTTTGAAAAAAGACTCCAAGAAAATATTTGAAGGGAAATTTGCTTTTCACAGATCATAATATTTCCAAATCTAATTTTGTTCTGAGCTACTTCAAGCCTGTCTGGTGAGTGAAATGACCAGTGAACTGGGAAGCTGGGGTTCTTATCCACATCTTTCTGAGCCAGGAAACCAACAATTATTTAATGGCTCTCCATCTGGAGAAACAGAAAGAGTTTTTCATCCCTAACATTCTATTAACTTCTTAATTTTAATATTATAGTTACAACGTTGAACAATTAGATTGCATACTTCAAAATTCTGTCCTTTCAAGTTCTGACAAAAATTACTACCCACAGCAGTTTTTTTAGAAGCAAAATATTCTGACCTAACATTCTTTTCTTAAATCTAAACACTATGTGCTGTCCTTCCATTCTATTGATAACAGTAGTTCAGTGTTTTTATATTATTATGACAAATCACAGCTCAATTGTTAAGGTTCAAAGTTAGGTTTACAATATTAGTCTACATGTCATCTTTACTTTAAAAAACAAACAAAAAAATCGATCTCCTGCTTCTAAGAGGCTTGAGAAATGGTCCTTGTGTTACATAAACCAAACACTCATGTCTCTTCTAGATGAATCTGGCATTGTGTGTTAAATTTGCTTTCTTCCTTATTCTTCTCTCATCATTCAAGTTTGAAGGTGTCTGTGAATTAAAACATACAATTGTATTATGCACCCACATTCATTCTTAGTCCGGTAATTTCTTGAACATTGGACATTCCTAGAAGGTATAATTGTAGTTTATTAATCTGCACTAGTTAGTAGCTGCTAATTTTCTCTCTTCATTCAGATTCAAGACCATAAATCATGATGCATTTAACTCACTATTCTTTCATTTATGGAATGAAAATGACAGTATTATATGATTTTTATGACTTAGCAGTCACCACAAAAATAATTAGTGCATCAGCAATCAATAATAGTTCAGTATAAGTTACATTTGAGATTCTCACTTGAATAGAATGAGGGAAAGGTCTGATTTTCAAAAGATGTTTTCTGCTAAAACTAATGGCGGTGCCAAATGTTTTAGAATTTTTTGCCACGCCGATAATAAAATTGCAATGATTCGGACCAGAAATCTCAAACTCATTTCAATAACTGGCTCATTCTTAAGGCACACTTGCCACTTTGTGTTCTGTATCCTCTACGTGAATACTGAGAAAGAAATACTTAACACGCCCTGTTGAATACAACAGTTACAACACAAAAGAGAGCGTTAATGCATCAGAACAGAAGAGTATGGTTAAAATTAGGCTTTTGCTGTAATTATCCTCCATCTGAGAAATTTTCTTAATGTAAAAATGATAAAACAAATCATGAGTATTCACTTAGTTTAATTAGTTAGCAGCACTAAAGCACATTGAGTTTAATCTGTCCCCTTTTTTATATCCTTTGTTCTAATGATCTGAACTATAGAAAAGCTGCGTATTTTACCACTTTAAGCCCCTGACAGTACCCACAGCATAAAATCTTTCTTGTACACCTTTATCTCCTATCCCCACAGAACTCCCCCAGACCAATTTCCCACATTGCGCTTGGTCGTTTGTGCTGAAGCACTAAGAGGAGGTAAAGGATTAAGGAAACATTGTGTGGCTGGAGTTAGAGCCAAAAGGGATTGAGGGAGGGAAGGAAACAGGAAAGAGGGTGGGACCGGGGAGGGAGAGGGAGGAGAGGAAGAGATACTGAGGGAGGAAGGAAGAGAAGGAGGAGAGGGGGGAGGAGGGAGGCCGGGAGGTTAAAATTAAAAAGGAAAGAGGAATGAGAAAAAGAAAGGTTAGTGATTAATGAGATGGCTGAGCTGGAGAGAAGCAGAAACACAAAGATTGTTTTACTTTGGTGACCCAAGCATATTTTTTTTAAAATTATCTATCTATCTATCTATCTATCTATCTATCTATCTATCTATCTATCTATCTCTCTATCTACCTACCTATTTATCTTCCCGGCAGCGGATTTTTTTTTTAATCATCCATTTTTTCTCCAGGAAAAAGCACAAGAAGAGAAGACTAAATTCTGCCTATAATTCTCCAAAACAGAAAATGCTCCAAGTTCTCTAATAATTTTTTTCCTTCCTTCCCCAGCCAAGGAAACTCTGGGCAACCCAACTGGACTGAGAGAGTCCATCCTGTTTCTCAGCATCATGAGTTCTTGCTGCCCCCTGCAAATGTGGCCCTTAGTCAGCAGAGGGGTCAGAGGAGGGCAGAAACGAGCAGCCTGGGTGCTGGAAAGCAACTCAATGTGTGTCCTCACTTCTGGATGATCAGGACATCTATTCTGTTTGAACATGCTGGCAGAATTGAGTATCCAAACCAGGCTGTCACCCCCGTTTGCATCAACGGCAGAACACTTTTTTCAATCCATCTTTCCTATTAGTACATTTTAAAAATAATTTATGGTCTGCACAGTTTATTTGCTATTCTGATTATCTTTTTAAAAAACCATGCTTGGAAAGGCTGTACTAAAGTGCTTTCCAAATGTTTATGTGTAATGATCCTGAGATATGTCAAGTGAATGTGTACGTTAAAACATTGTTTCTAGAATCTGAAAAGAAAATATATACATACATATATGTATGTGTATAACTGAATGCCTTTGCTGTACACCTGAAACTAACATTATAAATCAATGACACTTTAATGAAATTTTTTTAATTGTTTCTATATGTGAATGACATCTTGATTTGGACCTATAAAAGTCGTTTTGATAATAATTCAAATTTGATTAGAGATCTGAGGTATAAAGTAAGTTTCAAAGTAAGTATTTTAAAATCTTTTTTATCATCAAAATTAATGTATAGTAAATTAATAGCTGATGAAATACCAAGGAAGCATGCTCAGATTCATTACTGAATCAAAATACTTATATAAAAAAATGCTGCACACAGTTGATTCAGGTTTTTAAGAGGGAAGGTACATTTGGGAACTGCTATTTAATTTCATCAGAGTTTATATTCATCTGGAAAGCACTGATGTGGCTATTCTGGTCATTAAAATATTAAATGCTTCTGAAATAGCTGTTGCTCTGAGCCCTTGATTGTCCGGCCAGCCGGTCTGCTCTCCCACAATCTTTCCACTACCTAGAAAAAAAAGCATTAAGGTTGGGGTAGCACATTCCCTCCAGGACCTATGGAATGTCCATTCTAGCTTGCTATTGTCTGGACCATAATGGTATTAAACATTTTAAGTGCAACCTCTAAATGGAATACATGCTCCATCTTTCACCAACATGAGGGAATATGTTTGCATGGGGAAGGGTTGACATAATAACCATAGTTTTCTGTTTGTTTGTTTTCAAACTACAAACTTTTATAAGCTTCTTTCCTTCAGTGAGGTCCAGCCTATTTCACCCAGTCCCTGGACAGCATTAGAGCTTGGTCTGTAGACACAGGCGCCTAAGTGGTGACCCAACTTCCGTTGCTCCTGGTGATGGAGGCATGACTGCATTGGCATTGCGCCTCCTTCCTTCCCACCGTCTTTTCCACTCTGTCCTCGGTTGAAATGGAAGAAGGAGGTGCACACGGAGGGATGAGGTAGTCCTCCCAGCCAGTGTACCGATTGCTTTAATAGGTTCAGGATCAGAGCTGTTTGGGACACCAGTATTTCCCTGTACAAAATTTTTATGTGAATTCTTGATTTAGCTTCCTGAGGCTAGGTTCCTTCGGAACTGCATTGAAGGTACCACTTCTAACAGAAATCATTAGCTCTCTTCACGAATAATTACACTGATAGGTCTAAAATGGGACAGCTTTGATCTCCTCTTTTCAAATTGAGTTTGCTAGGATAAGGACCACTGTTGAGAGAAACCCCTCCCTGCTCCAGAGGCTCATCCCAAAGGCCTTGGTTCAGTTCCACCATGTCCAGGCATCACATCTCTTCCCAAAGGTAAATTACAGCCTTCTCAACTCCATCTTGGTGCAAGATGGTATTCAGGAGATGGAAAGTGACCTCCACTGCACGCACACAGTGGGGCGGGGCGGGCTACAGGAAAGTACTTCCTTTCCCAATCTTCTTTAACACATTCAGCATCTTCTTTTCTATTCTTCTAAATCTGTCCATCCTCGTCAAAAACACATCCAAAATAATTGCTTGAGTTTCTATTTTACACAAAAAAGTACAAAGGTGCTGAAGAAAAAGCACCCCCTCTTCTTTCTGCATTTTGTGAGGGGAAAAAAAATTGCTGATGTGAACTCTCCCCATTTCAAATCCATTATTTTGTTTTCTCCTCTTCCCTGAGAGTGAGAAGTGATCGAACATTGATGTGTCACATGAAACTTTCCCTTTTCCACTCAGCACTAATGAAAATATTTGCCTTCTTCTTAACTAACAGGTCTTTTCTTTAAAACTTGCTGAACCTGTTTTTTAACTTAGGAACTTCAGTGCAGACCATGGCAGGGATGCTTTAGATTTTCATCTGTTTCATTCCACAGGGGGGAAAAAATAGTCCTCAAGCTTACAGACTGAATAAGGAGAATGAATAAAAGTTTCTTAGGTCATAAAATAATCATTTAAAACTCTCACTGGTTTATTAAATTATTGTTGTCCATTAAATGCCAAACAAAAAAGCACTTACTATCACAGACAAAATAGATGTAAATTGCCAATATAATTTTATTTTATTTTATGATAATGTGGAAAGCACAGAGAGAAATGATCAATCGTCATTGACAGGTCTATAGTGGTTTAGGATTTTAATAGTAATATTTGCTTATGGGGCTGACTCGAATTGAACCTATGGCATATCCAAGTTTTTTATGCCCTAACAATATCTCAATTCTACCTGGAAATGCCCTTCTGTAAATCTAGACACTCAATTTTTTAAAAATTGGTAAGACATGAAGGTATATATAGTCAGCCCAAGAATATTTTAAACTGTTCCATCCACTTCACAAAATTATTCCACTGAAGCTAAATAAATCGTCATCAAATTACTACCCAGAACGGTCAGCAGCTGCTTCTGTTTAAGACTTTCATATATATCTCTACTGTCCCCTCCGTACTCCGCTAAGTTAACCCTGGAAAGAGACAGCGGGATTAATTTCAAGAGTTCTTTCTCCCTGCAGGGCACTGGGGGAGGCTGGGATGGGGAGCAGCTGCATTTCCTGAGCCCACTCTGTTCCTTCTTGCTGTTTTTCTTTCTTTTCTTTCCCTCCAGTCTCTCCCTTCCTTTGTACCATCTCAATTAGTTCTTAAACTTTAAATTGCATTGATACCTTGATGACGCTCTTGAGTACATCTCTAGCCCAGACCTCCTCTGCTGGGAACTCCAGATTCTAGCATCCAGCCAGCTACAGTGCACCTCAGATTTCATGTGTGCAGAATGGAACTCTCAACAATGGAATGCTACATCACTTCTGAGTAAGTAGTAAGTGCAATCACTGTTGATTCAAACCACTATTCACCCAGAAGCCCAGATTTTATCCTTGATTCACCCTTTTCCTTTATCCCTACTCTATGTTCACTCTCAAGGAACTTCCTCTCAATTCTGCTACAAGCGAGACCACAAACCCATCTCATTCTCTGTCCCCACTGCCCCCAACTTAGTCAAAAAAACTGCAGTCTCTCAACTGGGCTATATCCTCAGCATTTGTCGCATTGATATTTGCTCCCCTTAATCCTTTCTCCATTAAAAAGTAGTAGGAATTATTGTCCTACAGTAAAGGAAAGTGAGGTTCCTGATGGTAAATCAGTTTGCCCAAGGCTACATGGTGGTAAAGAATGGAGATGGAATTTCAAGCCAGGTGAACCACCTCAGAGGTTCAACAATTTATCCCATTTCTTAAAACTACACGATGGATCTGGCCAGTTCAAATTTTGAGTTCTTTTCTTACTAAACTATACTGCTCCTCTGTCTGTATAAAGGAGCAGTGAGCACTGGAATACTTTTCTTCCCTCCAAAATTAAAATGGACCAGAAAACTCACACCGGCGCACATCTGTGTCTCTGCATGCGTACATTGAAGACAATATCAAAATGTTAAGAGATTGTGGAGGAGAGAGTAAAAGAGAGTTGAAATTATGTATTTTCTTCCTCAAAATTTTCAATTTCTGTATTTTTCCAAACTTTTTGCTCTAATCAGAAGAATCACAATAAAGCTTTATATAGGTCTAAATATAACTTAAAGTACATATGTGAGTAAACTGAGTTAAACTGAAATTGTTCATCCTTTTATACTAATTTGGTGACCAGATTTTATTATTTTCCTAATTCTTATAACTAGATTTTTATTAATTTTATAGATTGTGTTATAGGATTCATCAAAAGGTTCTTGACAGCTGAGATTAGAAATCTAAGACTGCTTCCTCTCTATATTTTCCTGGCCAAATCTGTCATCAAAAGTTTTTTTTTTTATTAATTGCTAAGCCACCTTAAATAATATTTATGATTAAACTGTATTTTCATGTACACTTGACATTAATCGTAAGGAATAGGACAACATTTGCACATGAGTGACAAATGCTTCTCAGAGGCATTTGATTTTTTTCATAATTGTGAACTATCTCTAGAATTCCATCTACAAAATTGCTCCAAAATTGCAACACCATACATCCAGCCTCTGATGAAACTTGCTGGCATTTCAGCACAGTAAGCCTAAAGCTTAACTCTCTGACAGCCTCAGGTTGAATTAAGTGCCCTTCACTGATGCTCCCATAACACCCTATGTAACCTCTTTTGACAAATTGTGTCTATCATTATTCGTTAGTCTACAGCTGCCACTAGACTGTAACTTCCTTAAAAAGTAGTTTCTATCGATCATCACGTCAGTGTCTAAAAATATGCTACAGGAATTCTGTAAACATATTTTTCAAATCAAAAAATTAACTTCTCTAAAATAATATAATAAAAAGTAATAGTTTTATGTTTACAATAGCCAAGATATGGAAACAACCTAAATGTCCATTGACAGATGACTGGATAAAGAAGTTGTGGTATATTTATACAATGGAATACTACTCAGCCATGAAAAAGGATAAACTAATGCCATTTGCAGAAACTTGAATGGACCTGGAGAATGTCATTCTAGGTGAAGTAAGTCAGAAAGAAAGAAAAATACCATATTATATCACATATATGTGGAATCTAAAAAAAAAGACACAAATGCACTTATTTACAAAATAGAAACAGACTCACAGACAGAGAAAACAAACTTATGGTTAGGCAGGAAAGAGGGTGGGAAGGGATAAACTGGGAATTCAAGGTTTGCAGATACTACAAAAGATAAACAACAAATTTCTGCAGTATAGCACAGGGAACTATATTCAATATTTTATAGTAACCTATAATGAAAAAGCACGTGAAAAAAATATATGTATGTATATGTATGGCTGAACTATTATGCTGTACACCAGAAATTGACACATTGTAAACTAACTGTACTTCAATAAAAACAAATAATAATAAAGTTAGTCAATCAACATAGATATATATATATATTTAATGCCTAGAAGATTCAGTTTCCTCTAGGCCAGACTGGGAAGAGTACAATGGAACAGTTTATCAGCTGGAAAAGTCTGACTTTTGGCAAGCAAAACAGAAAATATCACCAAAGTGCGTTCAGGATGATGGTAAAGTATTTGATATCAATGCTCTTTATTTGATGGCAATGGTCTTCAGTTTTCTTCTGTTATTCACTAGATCCTATCTCTGTCATTCCATTTAAAAAGTGTCTTTAGACAAAGACTTCATTGAAAAATAATGAATTTCAGTAAGACTGTCAATGGAGATCGTTCCCCTTTTATATAGCTCCCTTAAAAAACCTCACTCTTTTTGCATCCAAATACTGTCAGCATCTTTGAGATCTCTCTGTCTCCCCTAGATTATTCTATTTGATTTCTTTTTAACATTGTTTAGAGTTGGAGCCTAATGTAAAATGCCTCTTTCAGAATTTCAGCATCCAGAACAGTATGTAGAAGACAACCTTTTGTATAATTTTCACAAAAGTCTGACATTCTCCCTCCAATAATCATGAGGTAAAAAGTCAAAACAAAACAAAACAAAAACAAGCAAACAAATGAAAAACAAAGCATCTACTGGCTATATGAAAAAAACTAACACTGGGGCAGCGCCTGGTGAATGAAGGCGATTTTAAGGAATTAAGTAGGCAGCCCAAAGTCTATGGGGACAATTGCTGGGCTTAGGGATTTTTCTCACTCCAGTGAGGTATAAGACATGTGATCTCTCGGAGATTGTGTGAGGCCAGAGCTTCAACCCCACGAAGTCTGAGGGTCGAGTTTTTGCCGAGTATCATTTACACTCTGCAGATCATAGCCCAACATTGTAGAAGGGTCTTTGGAGCCTCCGCTTGGCAGCCGGCCATGATTCACTGCAGCAGCACATCGTCAAGGCAGCTGGTCCGTCATCTGCACACACACAGACACGCATACACAACCCACTGCAGAAATTAACCCTTTCCCACCTAACAACACATACACGCCCTTGTTTTCACACTCCCTGTAAAAACCACATCTGTCACTCCTTTGAGGGCCAGGTGTACCAACTCTTTTCGTATAATATCTCTAAGCTTAGCAACAACCCTAAAAGGTAGATACTATCACTTTCAGTTTACAGATGAGAAAACTAAAAGGGTGAATATCTTGCCCAAGATACAAGGCTGAACTGTAATTCAAACCAAGATCTGTCTGGTTCCCAAACCCTCTTGCCAATGATAACTAGTGATCTATTCATGTATCACACAACAGGACCTAGAAAAGGGGCACAAGCTCCTTTGAAGTGCAAAGTCACCAAAAGTCATTAGGAAGTTCGGTAAATTCCATTATTAAAGTTACAAGTCTGTCTTCTTTATTACCAGAGCTGACTTGCTTGAGAACCATAAGAACCGATTATTGCTTAAAGTGTGTGCTTTAATCTCAAGGATATGTCATATTTTCTTTTAAATATTCAGTACTTTGAGGAAACAACTTATTTTAATAAAGCACTAAAAAAAAAAAAAGGTTGTAGAAGTTCCAGAAAAGGAAGGGAACTGCCAGTAATGTGGTCAGAATGTAACAGGTTCGAGGTCAGTTGCCTGACTCTCAAAGGGTCATCGTAGGTTGGCATCCTCTAGTGAATTTACCTAATCTAGACACTGACCTCAATTTTTTGATATCAGAAGTTTGATCTGTCTCTGATACTAAAAGTGATTCCTATTAAATGAGACTTTGTGGTCCTCCAGATTGGTTTTCATGTAGAGAAAATCATTAATAGATTGTTAATTGTCTAAAATATTCAATGTATTCAGTTATATATGAAAGAGGATTAGTTCTTCTTTAGTTTTCAGTTCATTTTATAAACCTGATTATCCCATGTAAAAGCTAGCAAAGTTTTAGTTCTCTTTAAAGGAGGTCTTTAGTCACTATCCAGAACCAGTTTTAAACTTTGCTAATTAAACTCCTTTTAAACATTTTAAACTGCATTAATGCATTTAATGTACTTAGTTTTTTTCTATGCTTACATAAATTATCTGACAAACTGGCTCAAGTATTTAAGCAATACTTAGAAAATTAATAAGTGAAACTTGAAAAATGATTTCAAGTTTCTCAAATCTTCAAATATGATCATGAAATTAATTAATTAACTAATTCAGTCTAGACATACAATTCTGTATCAGTTCTAATTTAGACATTTTAAAATGGTGTCACAAATGTGGCCTGTTCTTCTAACAGGCTTAAGGTCACTTACACATTTCAGATACTTAATATAGCAAGTATGCGCACACCCATTAATTAGTGGAAAAATATTAGTGTTACATTTTGATTCTGTTAAACATTTCTCCAGCTAATTCTAAATCTTCCAGATATGAAAAATTATTTTCCCCAAAGGAAAAGTACCAGCTCTCAAAATTTTAGGGTTTATATCCCCATGTGACTTCAGGAGCTGCCTTCCCATCTGCTCAATGACCTCAGGCGAATCGCGGGATAAAACCGGATCCTGTTTGTGACAGGGCTGGAGTGTGCTGAACCCTGTGGGTTATAGTGGCCGATACTAAGGACTTCCACAGAGAAAGAAGAAGGCTTCATGTGGCTCATATCCATTAGAAGTGAATCACGTCGTTACCTAATTTTCAAGTCAGGTTAGTCTCTAACTCCCAGTGGCTCTGCCTCTTGATTGGATTTTATTTCCCTGAGTTCTTAAGACAAGTACACGTATTCACATCTAGGTGTAAAGACATTAGATTGTAAGGCAATCCTGCGTTTTCTCACATTCCTAGTACTAAAACCACGTGAAGTCAAATTCTGCAATGTCTTGGAGCCCTGCCTGACTATCTTACTCACAACTTCCAAGGTCATTCTATTGACAGACTCATCTCTTGAGGGCAGATGCACATTAACCAGGCTCATAAAAGTAAAGCGTCAAAACACTGCCAATGTATTAATTTACAAGGAGAAACAGAACCGAGTAAGGAAGCCAGGCACTTAAAATCCTCTGGTGCACGCATTATTTTCCCATAAACAAGCCTCCTAAAGAGGCAAGCTTTTATCAGAAGGCTGCTTGGTGAGTATGGAATCAGAACAAGAGGAATTAAATATATGATTTGGATAATTAATGACATCAGCATGAGACAATCTGATACGTCTGCCAGGGTTAAGAGGAGCCCAAGAGATAGCATCCTTTCTCCCCTGAAAGTTTGGTACCAACTAACAGGCAAATATGGAGTCAAACAGATGGAGCTCAAATGTCAGCTTCATTACTGACAAAGGCTAGAGCAGAGACACAGCTTTAGCAACTAAATGCACTTGATAAAATTTCTCCGTCAAATGAGAGCAACTGACATTGTTACTGGTATAGCTGTCCAGTCCCAGTGACCCCCACAGCCAGGCCCCCTGACCACAGGAAGCAGAGAGACCAAAATACGTGCATCCTACGGGAAGGCTAGATTCCAAGTAGGGA